GATTCTTTCTCTTGCCCTTTCAGATCTGCTGTTAAAGCCCATCCTAGTGCATTTTTCATTTCAGTTTTTGTACTTTTCAACTCTAGAATATCCATTTATTCCTTTTTTTTAAAATAAAAGTATCTGTTTCATCCTCCTATTCATTGAGTCTTTGTTAGGTTTTTCTTTAATTATTTAAACATGGTTTCTTTGAATTTTTAAAATGTATTTATAATCTGTTTTTTTAAATAAATTATTTTTAACGTTTATTTATTTTTGAGACAGAGAGAGACAGAGCATGAACAGGGGAGGAGCAGAGAGAGAGGGATACACAGAATCTGAAACAGGCTCCAGACTCTGAGCTGTCAGCACAGAGCCCGACACGGGGCTCGAACTCACGGACTGTGAGATCATGACCTGAGCCGAAGTCGGATGCTTAACCAACCGAGCCACCCAGGTGCCCCTATAATCTGTTTTTTGAAGTCTTCATCTGCTGGGGCAGTATAGAATTAGCTCTAATTGACTGCTTTTGTTTTTATTTTTAAGTACGAGTCACACTTTCCTGTTTTTTTCCATGGCTCATAATTTTTTATTGGAAACTGAACATTTTAGATATAGCCAATCTGTAATTTTATTTTTTCCTATGAGAATTGTTGTTTTGCCTTTTTAAAATAAATTATTTTCACTTATGCTTTTAATCTTGTGCTGCCACTGATATTTCCTCTGTCTTCAAGTAGCTCCTTTCCTTGTATGATAGCTTCTGTTGTTACAGTTCTCTCATGTGAAACTAAAGTTTGTCTTTTGGTTGCTCCCATAATGTTTGGCTTTCTGGATTTATATAGAATAATTCAGTTTTCTCTTCTATATGAAGCAAGTCTTCTTTAATGTTTTCTTTGCTGGGCTCAATACTGTTTTTTCAGCTATTTTAATTTTTTTTTTCAACGTTTATTTATTTTTTTGGGGACAGAGAGAGACAGAGCATGAACAGGGGAGGGGCAGAGAGAGAGGGAGACACAGAATCAGAAACAGGCTCCAGGCTCTGAGCCATCCGCCCAGAGCCCGACGCGGGGCTCGAACTCACGGACCGCGAGATCGTGACCTGGCTGAAGTCGGACGCTTAACCGACTGCGCCACCCAGGCGCCCCTTTTCAGCTATTTTAAAAAAATGTTCTTTTTATTTTTGAGAGAGAGAGAGAGAGACATACAGACAGAGAGTGAGGGAGACATAGAATCTGAAGTAGGCTCCAGGCTTTGAGCTGTCAGTACAGAGCCGGATGCAGGGCTCAAACCCACAAACTGTGAGATCATAACCTGAGCTGAAGTCAGACACTTAACCGACTGAACCACCCAGGTGCCCCTTTTTCAGTTATTTTTAGAAAATAAAATAATTTCCCATTGTGGCACTTCTCTTTGGGTGGACTCTAGATGATTAGTATCCTATGAAACTATTACAGGTAAAAAAACATATAATGCTACAAGTAGAGTATTATAATAATAAAAATAGTAATAGCTACCCTTTATACAGTTCTTATTATGTGGCATGCATAGTGTTAAATCTTTAATGACTCTTTACAAAAACAGTATGAAGAAATAGAAGCTTGCAGAGGCATTGTTGTCTGTCACTTCTGCAGCTAATAAGTGATCACCAACCCAGAATTTGAACCAAGGTCTGCTTTAACTCCAACTCTTTACACTGCTGCCCTTGGCTGGCATGGAATTCAGGGTGGCTATGTTACTCCTTGTATTCTGGATATGCTGGTTCTATTAATTTGATCTAAGAATTGCCTTAATCTTTTGGGCAGCAATATTGTATATGGCAGCATATCACTGACTTACATAAAGCTTGTATTCAACTAAAATGTACAAAACTTAATAAGATCTTAAATATTTGAGCTTGTGTCTGGCCTGGACTTTCCCTCTTATGAAATTACTTTTCACTATAAATGCAGGACTTTGTGTTCTTATCTGTGTCTTGGAGATTTCAGCCTAAGTTCTAGGTTGCCAAGATATTTTTGAAGTTTGAATCTGTCATCTATGATATTAGCTCTTCCTCCAGATATATGTGGCCACGTACATCTTTGATAAGTATTCTTTTTTGTGTATTTATTTAGTCTTTGATACAATTTCAAATAAATCAGGAGTGAATAAAGAATGTATACAGCATATCTATATTTTCCCCAAACATTGTTGTTGTGTACACTTCTGAAGTCTCAGACATGTTTGGCCATGCCCATGGGTTTCTCTTCTTACTGTTGTTAAGACAATATGATCACTGTATTTTAAGGTTCTGGTTGGAATGATGTTGAGGCTATTAGTTATAATTATTGCTTTCTCTGCCTTCTGAGCAATACATTTATTCCATAGGAAATAGAGAGTTTGGTAGGTGTTCTACTTTTGTATTAGACTCCTATTAGAAGATATCTGAATAATTGAAACTTCTCTTCACTGTATATAGTATGTTTTGGTACAAGTTTTGTAATGTTTTCTGGGAAAGTATCATACATATTTCTTTTCTGGATAGACCGCCTATGGTATGCTGCTGTTACAGTATAATTAGGTTTTTCTCTTAAGTTCCTCACTTTTATTATTTGCTGTAATTTACTATTAAATTTATGAGTTTCTATATAAGAGTAACTTTTGGAAAGGTCACTGGACTTGACTTTGAAAATTCCTGGATTTGGGGACTGACCACGCAATGTGAACTTGAGCAAGTCACTTAAGCTTTGTGGATCTCAGGAATCTACATATACACAGTAGGGATAATAATATTATTCTTTATCATTTAGGATTTCAAAAACAGGTAAGGATTTTAAAAATAAGAAACTAATATTTCATATAACAAGAAATCAAAAGATGTGCAGTCTGGGACAAGTATGATAGTTGTCGTAGCTCATTAAAATCTTCTGATCTTTCAGTTCACCATCCTTAGTGTGTAGTCCTTTGCTCTCTTGCTTCTTGACTCATTGCCACAAAATAGCTACTTTAACTCTGGGTCTATGTTTTAGACACAAAGAATGGGAGAGGCTAATAGGTTGAAGGACAAAAATCCTGGTTTTCTCTTAGTGAGGTTTTGTCACTAAAGTTAAGTCCCTCTAAGGATGTCTGCCTGCAGCTCATTGGCCAGAACTAGGTTACATGTCACCCCTTGCTTCAAGGAAAGCTGGGAAATTGTTTATTTTTGTGTTTTAGTCTTTGCAGTAGAAGGAAGCAAAGAAGGGATTGGGTTTACGGTTTGGGTCAGCTGGTCAACAATATCTACCACATACTTTCATAGGATTATTGGAAGGATTCAATGGTACAGTGTAATTAATATGTTTCCTCTTGCTTTCTATCGGTGGTCTTAAAAACTAGAGTATGTCTTGAATTAATTTATTCTAATTTTGTATTCCAGCCTCAGAAAATCTATGAGAGTAGTTACTTGAATGTTAAATGAGTTCAGTTTTTACCTATAGTCTAGAAATTGTCATAAATATGTTTAGGAATAGATTGCATTGTTCCCAACCAGCTCTCCTGTTTTCATCCAAGGTTTAGTGAGAGCCATTCCCACATCTGGCTAATCTTTGTGTACTACACATCCTAACTCTCCTTATCATGGGCTTGTATTTATAGCTGGGCTTCTCTATTACAGGGCTCTGTTGATGGGTTTGAAGATTATTTGTCTACAATGATGTCTCACCTTTGATGCCACATACTCTTATTTTCTCTTTGAGCATTGTTTAAAATCTTTTCTATTGCTACCATTAACATGGGCGTTAGTTTGCTACCATTAACATGGGCATTGGTTTTTTCTTTCCAAAGCCATTGGTGTCAACAGTGGCAGAACATTTTTTTTCTTAGCATTTTCCCCTAAAATCTTTCAATTTGCTATGTAAAACTTGGAAGTTTCTAGAGCTGTTATCCAGATTGCTGCTGATAATTATTTGTTTATATGATAATAAGCTGAATTATATTTTAATTTACAAAAATAAACACATAACTTTAGGGTATCAAAGCTCCCTGCTAATTGGGGAACATTCTAGGTGACTGTTTTTGAGGGTGACTATTTTCTGGAGAATACTTGGGCTTTGAGTAAAAATCATATTGAAGTATAAAAAGCAGCCTGTCACCAATGGGAAAATAATTGGGAAAGAAGCAGATCTGCAAAGTGACTCTAGTCCTACTCTTGTTTCCTTCACTGACTTACAAAATACTTCTAGATTTAAAGAGTTATTGGGGCGCCTGGGTGGCTCAGTCAGTTAAGCATCTGACTTCGGCTCAGGAGAGTCATGATCTCACGGTTCATGAGTTTGAGCCCTGCATCGGGCTCTATGCTTAGAGCTCGGAACCTGGAGCCTGCTTCAGATTCTGTGTCTTCCATTCTCTCTGCCCCTCCCCTGCTCGTGTGCTGTCTCTCTCTCTCTCCCTCTCTCTTTCTCTCAAAAATGAAATAAAAACATTAAAAATTAAAAAAAGAGTTATTAATGAGTCAGAATGCAGCTAGAGGCACATGAAAAATAGCAGCAAAAATCCTGAGCAGCTAAGGAGAGAATGGTAGCCCTAATGTGAGCTGAATAGGCTGGCTGGTAAATTTGAAAGCAGGTCACATATCCTGAATATATATACAGGAGCTATCACCTGGTCCTACAGCATGAAGTAGAGGAAATAATCATAGTCACTAGTTTTCAGACAAAGTTGTATTATTTTTTTCCATGGAGAATGGTAAAAGATGTTAAGAAAAGGCCCCAGGAAGTAAATAAGTCCTGGAGGTGAGCTTAGAGGAGAATGGAGGAGTGAGCATCTTAAGTGAGGTCAGAGTGAGATAAGAAAATGGAAATTGCAGAGGATTTGGAAATGACTAGAGAAACCTACAGGATGTATCATGAAGTTGGAGACTCTTCAGGTTTCTTACTTCCGAATCTCTTCATTCTGATGAAATATGGTAGTTTATAAATTCTGTCATTTTGGGTGAAACAAGACTTTGATGTGTATATGGTTATTTGTTTTGTTTCGTTTTTGCTGCCTGCCTTTATTTCTTTTTGTAGACATTGTTCGAAGTGATGTTGCCTTGGATAAACAGAAAGGCTGCAAGATTGCTCAGCACCCTGATGTTATGCTGGAGCTCCAGCGGGAGAAGGCAGCTCAAATGCATCTTGTTCTTCTAAAGGAGCAATTCTCTAATACTTACAGTAATCTCATATTAACAGGTAAGGCTATTGGAGTCATTTGGAATCTTAAGCATTATAGATTGATGGCCTCCATTAGTTAACAACTTGACGTTTGGTAGACACTAAAGTGGGATCTAGATGAGCCCCTATCTGTCTGTCTCCATCCACTATATCCCTTTTTAAATTGTGATTACTTTTGTCTTCCTATAAAAAATATTTCTTATAGTTTGCAGATGTATTTTGGCTTGAAGTTATAGGCAACTCAGCATGTGTGTTCTCAAAAGACAGGACCAATGAAAACCTAATGAAGCCTTATAAAAATATGACTTTTTAGATGTGTGCCAGTGGATTTGAGAGAATTACTAAATTTGGTGTCTAAGAAGCAGCTATTTTCCTCTTTCTGTGTATGCCCTTTCTGTGAACCCAGTGAACATAAAGATGAAATGTAAAAGAGATAATGATCCACAGGCTGAGCTGAGAATGTTCTATTCCTGGTGGAGTTTGAAAGTATCTGGAGAATTTGATTTTCGTTTTAAGAGCAAAGAGGCTATGAGACAGCCATACTCCCTTACATCCTTGGTTCAAGGAGGGAAGTGAATTTGTGTGAGAGCTCAAAGGAGAAAAAGCTTTTTGCAAGGCTGCCTGCAGGCTTTGCTGGTACAGAGCATGTGAGTTGCATGCTTTCGTCAAGTTTTGGAGAAGATTCTAATAGCAGACTCTAATGTGAGAATAATGGAGTACTTGAGATGGAGTAAGAAGAGCGGTCTAAGTTACTTCCATTTTCTCGAGGGCACGCAAGGCATTCCTGCATTATATTGCTCCAAATAAAGTTTCACAAATCAAAAGTGTGTGTTTTCCCGTGTTTATCAATATTTAATATTCAAAAGATGGAATGTCTGACAGGCTATGAATATCTCACTTATTTTTGTAAACTCCAAGTTAGGACAATTTTAATTTTTTTTATAGGCTTCCTGGCATTTCACCAGGAATTGCTGAGTGGCAACCAAATTGTTTAACTTGTGAAAAAGCACAAGTCGTTTCCAACTTTTCTTCTTGTACCTGGTGGAAAACCCAACAGCATGAGGTGAAAGCCAGATTTAAATGTGCTTTGGTGAGCAGAGAAGAGGATTATAGATTTCATAATTATAGGCCTTGTTTTTTGCTCTTTGATAAGTTATTAAGGAGGGAAAACTTAAAAGTGATTTATAGCCAATGTATTATTTCCCTAAGTTGGTTTCCCTAAGATGGTTAGCTTAAGTTTAGATATTTGGAAAGAACATAGATTTTTATCCAAATTTCTTCATTCTGTCTCAGGCATACAGATGTACATATATTAATATTTTCCAATTCAGTTATTAGAAATATTTTTATTCCACCCTTATGTTAATTTTAGATCTATATTAAAGAGGTCAGATCTTGTGTTCTTTAATGTGGCATAGAAAGGGCTTAAGGTAATTCTAACCCTAAACTGTGGATTCAGAGTGTGGCTTGAAGGCATATTATCTTTGAAAACACAAGTGTTCTATTGAGTTCAATGGAATCTTTTCTAATTCTCAGTAACATAATCCCTTTGAATGTTTATTCGCAGTTCAAACTGTTGGAATCAACATTGTCAACTTTTACCCTGACAACTTGCTTACTTTCCACTAAACAAACTTACCCTAGAGAAGAGCCTCTTTCCTGCTCTTACTTCTCCCAAGCTGCTTCAAAGAGTCCTCAGGCATTTTCCACATTTTTCACCCAAATGCTTGTACAGAGGTGGTACCTTGCTACAGACAGAGCATTTGGTGTGCCCCAGTTTGTTTACATGAAAGTTCAAAAGGTTTTGGTTCCAGGTGTTGGGAAGAGCTGTAGCCATTTCAATTTAGCACCAGTGGTAAAACTATTTTAATGTCCTTTAACTAAGTCTTTGATTTTACACAGTGTGGTTTCCTAATTGTTATGAAGTTTAATCCTTGATTTCTTGTATAAATTTTGAGAACATGGTCTCCAGACAGCTAAACATAATATTTAAACATAACTAAACTAACTTTTGTAAATATTTCCCTTTTCAGTGATGAATGTATATTGGTAAGGAGGGTGAGGTTGAAGGGGCAGAGACCTCTCAAATGAAGTGACTCTCTTTACCAACATGTTCAGAACACCTACTCTAGGATTTCTGCTTGGTGATGTTCCACTTATTTTGTGTAACTCTGGCATAATATTTGAAATGTCTGCAATGAAAGTATTTATGTGGAACAAGATGAGGAAACTAGGCCTCCAAAATCTTAGAAAGAGATCATTTTCTTCATGACTCTGCCCTCCCCTCAACCCTTCTCAATTATTTACAGAATTTCATGTATATGAGTAGCAGTGTATCATAATAGTTTTCTGGTCAGTTAGTGGTATATTCTTTATTTTAAAATTGGTTGACTAAGATCATAGTATAGGAAAAAATAAAGCGATTGAAATCAGATGGTTAAAAGCATGGTTAAAAATGACAGTTGTTGCCTTCCACCTCACAAGCAAGCCCCCATTCTTAGATGTTCCATCTTTAGCTGATGTGACTGTCAGCGTTGAGGTGAGAGGCATGCCTTCATTTTCTGCATTCCAGCTCATCTTCTCTCTTAAACAGCCACCCCTCAGATGAGAGCAGATTATATTCTAGCTTTGAAGGTCTTCTGACTGTTCAGTAAAAGGAAACAACCCTCCAGTACTTAGTGACAGCCCAGTTAACAGAAACTAGTAACAATTCTTTAATGTGTATATCTTATTGAAGTATTCCTCCTTATATCACATTTTTAGAAAAGTGGAGTGTATTTTTGCATGATATTAAATATGTCTTGGGGCGCCTGGGTGGCGCAGTTGGTTGAGCGTCCGACTTCAGCCAGGTCACGATCTCGCGGTCCGGGAGTTCGAGCCCCGCGTCGGGCTCTGGGCTGATGGCTCGGAGCCTGGAGCCTGTTTCCGATTCCGTGTCTCCCTCTCTCTCTGCCCCTCCCCCGTTCATGCTCTGTCTCTCTCTGTCCCAAAAATAAATAAACGTTGAAAAAAAAATTAAATATGTCTTTATGTTTTCATGTGAATGATTTACATAGCAATGGAAATAATGTTAGCCTTCCCTAATATAGTGGGTTTTTGCAGTGAACTCCAAGGTTTTAGGAAGGTGATGGAGTAATACCAGTAGAACATCAGTGATAGAACTGTTTTAAATGGTGATGAGTTGCATCCTGTACTTTTCACACTGACTCAACAACACGTGGATGTATCTTATCTTGTCCTGTAGCATCCAGTTTGTCTTGGAGCATTTAAGAAAGAAAGGGGATTCTTCTTCCATTTCTTTGTGTTCTCATGACTCTTAATGTAATAATGTTCTACAAGTTCGTTGAAAATGTCCTGCTGTTTATATGATAAATGAATTGACTTGGGATAATTTTGACATCTAATTAATAACTTTAATAGGTTCAGATTCAGTATTCATTTCCCCTCACCTTGCTCCACCCCCATACTTTTTGAGGTATAAATTGAAAGTTTGTGGTGGATTTCTATAATCAAATGAAAAAGTCAGCTTTAAGGGGCAATGTATTTTCTAGGATTTTGTTTAGAACATAAGCTTCTGGAGGATAAGGAATATCATATTTTTACAGCATTCTGCACAATATATAGAACATAGTGAGTGATCTTGAAATGGGGTCAAATTAAAACAAAATTTATTTATGCTGTGAAGTCATAGTCAACCCTCTGTAACTAGGCAGCCTGAACCAAAGCCCTTATAAAAGGATGGCATTACCTAAGATGCTTTCCAGGATTCTTTTATGAGGACTCTTGTCATGTTAATTGCTGCTACTTTTTGTTTTATACACCCTCTCAGTCATTAGATTCCAAAGTGGATTGGGATCCTATGGTCAGCTTTACTGTGTTACTGTGGTAGATGAATTGAGCAAAAGAGGCTTGTACTTCCCTGTTGTGGCCCATTCTTCTAAATTTAGTTGAGCAAATCAGGGCTCAAATCAGTGGAACGAGAACTGTTTTTCAGTTCCCACAAATCATAATATTAGCTCATATTATTTCCGGTTCTTTTAAAATTATTTGCATTGGGGGCATCTGGGTGGCTCGGTTGGTTAAGTGTCTGGCTTTGGATCATGTGTGATCTTGAGGTTCCTGAGTTTGAGCCCCAAATCGGGCTCTGTGCTGTCAGATTCTGTGTCTCTTCCTCTCTCTGCCCCTCCCCTGCTCGCGCTGTATCTCTCTCTCTCAGAAATGAATAAATATTAAAAAAATTTAAAATTATTTGCATTGTATTCTATAGCATTGAATACAACACACTTTATTTAACCATTTCTCTATCAACGTACATTAATTTATATACATGTTGACACATTTATTTCTGTAGAATAGATTCCTCAAAGTGGGGTGTCTGGGTCAAAAGGTATGTATTTTAAAATTTTATAGAATCAAGTTTTTTGTGGTATAATTTATATGAAGAAAAAGTAAGTTTTGACAAATGTATATATCTTAGAGTCATATAGCCACCACCACCTCACGATAAGATTTCCCTCACTCTAGGGGTTCTCTTGTCTCCCTTTGCAGTTTCCTCGCACCCCCTACCCCCAGTCCTTAGCTGTATGTGATCTGGTATTTGTTCCTAAATGTCATATAAATGGAATAATAAAATGGTTGTGTGTCTTATTTCTTTCACCGAGCATATTTTTTTTGAGATTCTTTCACTTGTTGCATATATCAGCATTTCATTCCTTTTATTGCTGAGTGATAGATATTTCATGTTGTGAATATGCTACAACTCATTTATCCACTCCTCTGTTGTTGGACATTTGGTTTGTTTCTAGCTTTTGGTGATTATGAATAAAGCCACTATAAACATTTGTTCTTAGCTCTTTGTGTTGACATATTTTTTTCTTTTCTTTTAGGTAGGTACCTAAGAGTGGGAATGCTTGATTTCATGGTGTCTATGTAACTTAAAAGAAGCTGTCAGATTGTTTTCCAAAGTGGCTGAAACTGTCTTGCATTCTAGTAGTATGTGAGACTTCTCGTTCACTCAT